GCAGTTTCTAGCATACACATACGATTTTTCATATCTTCCTATGGAAAACCTGGCAATTGTCAGCTTCAACAGTCTTCCCAACGGAATGAACTGGCTGAGAGGCTCTCTGTGAAAGGCAGTCCACCTCTCCACAGTTAATATCTGTGGAAGGTGGACAGTTAAGCAAAGGACTTGCTGTGGGAAGGTGTACTGGCATTTAGGGAAAACTGTGCTAAAAGTAGTTATACTTTAAAGTTTCCAGATGAAACAAAGTAAACCATTCTCTTATGCCCCTAAGCCAACAAGGAATACAGAACCTCCAGGAGCCATTACAATCTACACAGCTATCATTATTGCGGAGTATTGGAACCATGACTTCTATGAAGTAAGGCTTTGGGAGCTTTAGCAATAGGCTCAGGCAGGAGAGAGTACAGCATTGAGTAACATATCTGGAACATATAAATGCAATCCCTAGTTTGAAATCTTATTGAGTAGCAAATGCAGTAAGTAAGTAGGTGAGCTATGTTTGCATAAAAGTACAAATTCTCACATATTGCACTGACTTTATATTAACCACGCTCATTTTTTTTAAGCTTTAGCAAAGCCGTATAAGAATGACTCATTCTATGTGACACTTGTTAATACTGCCTTCTATTGTCTCGGTCATACCCAAGTATGTTCATAGGTTAAACGCCTAAAGTAAATAGTATTCCTTTACAGATTTGCACAATGGAAACTGAAAATGTGGTAGAGATGACAAATGGGCGCCTGACATTGTTTAAGTAAATAGCAGGGCACAGAGCAGATCCTTCTTAATACCTGCACTAGGCACCTGTTATTTGACTTTCTAATTTAGTATACAGAGTGCCAGCAAACTATACTGCTAAACAGACAGCCAAAGAGACGAGCATTGTTCTTTCTACTTGCCACCATAAAAAAAAAAGAATTACACGTAGGCTTTAATACATTTATGGATTCAGAATCAATTAAACAAAACCTGAGAGGAGGATCTATACGGCTATTGCCGATATTCACCTGAAATTATTAGTCTCATCAGCCCCTGCTCATGAAACAGCTCACAAACTAACTGAAAAATACACACAATGACAATTTTAGGAGGAAGTTAAAAGGAGAACTATGGGGTTAAGGTTCTTCCCCATAGTTCTCCTTAGGGTAACGGGAGGACAAACTAGCGTCCCCCCGCCACCCAAAGCTCAGTATACTGCGAGCTACAGCTCCCTATATACTGAGACGCCGCAGCTGAAGCAGATCCCCGACAATTATGTCTGGATCCGCCCAGCTGCGTGACAGCTGGCTCTGCCTATCTAGAGGCAGAGCCAGCTGCACCCGCCACCTCCCCCGTCCGTTCCGCCAGTCAGCGCTGGTGGATCGAAGCTGGGAGGGGGGAATCCAGCCCCTCCCCTTTCACCGTCACCGCAGAGAGCCGTGACAGGATCGAGAGGTGAGCGAACACCGGTATGCATTCGCTCACTTCCCGATCTACTGAGCCGACCTGTGACAGTCTCATTGTCACAGGTCGGCTAGAACTATGAAGATGAGTAAAAAGCACTCACCTCATAGTTCTCCTTTAATAGTATTTTTTGAACAGTGGGAGCAAATAACCTAAAACACAGGGAGAAGATGCATACATACTCCATATAGATTTCCTTGTGTAGTTCAAATCCTGCACCAAAAATGGCAAGGTAAGAGTGCTAACTGGTTTCCAACCTAATTTTGAGGCGTTCTGACTGCAATAGCTCCAATATTTGCTTTGCGTCAGTAACAACGTATTACAGGCACTTTCAGTAGGTCAGTGATAGCAGCACATATACTGTTCGCGTGCCAGCTATATTTTAAATGATCATTTTGGCAGCTGGGTAGCACCATATTGGTTGGAATAGCAGAGTAAAACTACAATACCTGCTGAGCCCACCAGGTCTCTCTAGTACAGTGGTGGCGAACCTTGGCACTCCAGCTGTGCCAAAACTACAAATCCCAACATGCATCTGCCTCTGGGAGTTATGTCTGTGGCTGTCAGAGCCTTGCAGTTCCAAAAGAGCTGGAGTGCCAAGGTTCGCCACCACTGCTCTAGTATGACCTTCTGGCCAGACAGTTGCCAAGGCCATCTCACAAAAGGTCATACAGTTGGGACATGCCAACATTTTAATTACTGATTCAGTATGTGTGATAAATTACACCCAGCACAGCCATTCTGTATGAGTGGAGACTTCTCACAGCCTAGAAATTAGTACTCTTTTAGAAATTCACTTTTACGTTTCTAGAACCATGTACACATACTGGTCTCTATAGAAGAAATTATAACTTCTAGAACTGTATTTCATTCATGCAAAGGCCTAATTTCCAAGATAGGTTTTCTGAAAGGGGATCAGATGCCTGTGCCCCAGCTGTGTGCCTTGACCATTTCAGTTCCAGGTCCTTGTTTTTACCAAAACAGTATTTTCAATAATGTTTTTGTTCTGCTGTATGCCTTACATCGGTGGCAGTAAAAGGGTTAAACCAGGGCCTCACTAAGAGTGGTGACTATCTGTTGCCTTGCTGGATCATCAGCTTAAAGCCATTGTGGATGAACGTTTGCTGTCTGGAACAGTCCATGAAGAAAAAATACAATATCTCAGAACAGGTATAGTGAGCAATTACAGCCACATATTAACAGTCACTTTGATTATTAGTTTCTGATATTCTGCAGAATAAGACCATAGATATATATTCATATTTACAGTGGAATTACATTTAGGGGGTAACCTTCAGTTAGATACCCTTGCACCTATTGCTGTGAGGACTCTTGGGTTTGATTTATGGCACCTTTGGACGACAATATTACATGGACTCTAAAGTTTTCCAGATTAAGCAGGCAACAGGTTACCTGTAAAATTCGTAGCACTGTCCTCATTTCACTGACTAGTAAGCAGCTACTTCATTGACATTATCTCCCTTCTTGTACCCTATGCAGTAATGTAGATATGAACAAAATAAAGATGTACAGAATGTTAATAACCTGTATATAGCTGGTCAGTGGTAGAAGGATAAGTATACAAGTCCTTAGAGGTTTTCTTATGACAGATTTGTGGACGTGAAGTGCTAAATGCCATATAAATTTTAAAATAACTACATCTGATGTGGTACCAATAAAAAAGTTTCACATTCTGTACCTCAGTTCAAAATTGATGAAATTCAAAAGATAGGGTACCCTGACCCACCAACTAATGTAACCCAAAAAAATAAAAAAACTCCACTTTTGATCATGAGGTCTAAAACATCCACATGTAACCATCAAGAATGAACTTCGCACACAGGATACTGAATGACAATTCCAAATAAAGGCCGGACAAAAACAGCAACAATAATAATCTGACTTAGTCCATAGACCTCCTTCAAACTTAAAAACACAACAACTTAAAACTAATGCCAGGAATAAATAATGTATATCTAAACCCAAGAACAAAAATATATATATATATATATATATACCTGGTGATCCTGCCAGTAAGACACTTTCTGTCCAAGGGTGACAATACAAACTTTTTGTACTGCATGTTGAAAGGAGAAGTGTTATAATCCTAGGACAGGACAGGACTACAGGTATGTTCTGTAGTTCCCAGACATAACCCGGGCAGGGCTAATAACTTTACTTGAGATAACACAGCAGAGTGCAATGGATATGGTAGAGCACTGCATTTCTGACAGAATCAACAGGTATTTTTTGCACTTACTGAACAGATATAACCAAAGGCTTCCATTGGTACACTTACAGACCAAAAGAAAGCAAATAAGAAGTTCATTGTTCGGGTTTACATGCATGTTAACCCATTCCTTCCATCTACATATTAAGAAAGATGTAGCCGTCTCCCCCATCTGTGGTCTCAAGACAGAACACATAGAAACTGCAGTACATAGGAAGTGTCATAGTTGTGTAAGGGGGTACAGCAGCATGGTTCACAGTTATGTTTTTAGCATTGTGTAAATCTAAAGAAAACAAACCTAAAATGTGCAAGTAAAAGCATATAATATTTAAAAGATTTTAAAGTTTTTCTTTTGCATAAACAAATTTTATCGACTTGCAATTTGCCTTTGAACTAACTGGCACTCTAGAAAATGTCAGCTGCCCTCCCTTCACATCATAGCCCTCCCCTCTTTTGGGAGTTTCAAATTACTGTCTGTGCTGACCCAACTTCTCAGCCACTACCTTCACCACACAAACTTTAAATAACTGTCTCGGGATGGGATCACTGTCACTGTCTAAAGTGATGCTTTATTCCCCATCCCTCCTCCTCTGGCAGTCTGCTGGGGTTGCCGACATCACATCCAAGATTGCTGTGCCCAACAGTGGGTCCAGGGCTTTTGGATGTCTTCCCAAGGTAGGTGAAATAACATACCTAAAATGCACATATAATCTCAGCAGGATTCTGGGGAACTGAAAAGAGGGGCCAGATTCCCCAATGACTGCTTAAAGAAATGCCACGGTCGCATTTCTTTGTATGTTTTTTTGACTGGGGATGACCACAGACAGGTGAAGTTACTGATTGAAATGATGACATGATCATGCATGTATGAATGCATGTCCACATTCAAAAAGCACAAAGATGCACATTTTCTTTTTTAATAATAAAAAAAGAAAAAAGAAAAAAAGGAACCAATGAAAGTAACTCATTTTTGTGACAGATTATAAATAGGTAAAACAAACAAAAGCCTGCTTTGAGAAAAGACACTTCTAGTCCATGCTTACAACAACAAGCATACTCATGCACTTTAAAACAGGGATTTAACATGCGTTCTGGGGCAAATTCATTTTGCAATAAAAACATACACTGCAGTAAAACTAGGAATTTCCAGTCAAGGTCAGGAAGACCTTTTTGTTTAAAATTGCTTTTAAAAAAAGACGAGATTTTAGTTTAGTGACATGAGCAAACATTGTACTTGTTGATCTAGACAGTAATTATTTGCAGGATTATGTCTTTGCAAATCGATCTGCACAAAAGGAAATAAAAGAAAATTCGACTTGCCCAGTAAAACCTTGGCGTCATCAATGTCGAAATCTCCATCCCCGTCAGTATCGTAAGCGTCAAGTTTTCCTAGTGGAGACAAACCAATTAGTATTAAAAAAAAACAACTAGTGTATTTGATCATTTTAGTACAATTTTTTTAAACCGTTTTTGACAGATGTTTTGTTCCTTCGAAAACACTGCAAGTAGAGAAAAATACTTATTGATCCTGCCAGAAATCATGTCAGCTCCTAACTTTTAGCCCTGATGAGAGTTCTCCCCTGCTGGACTAACCTTTAAGTTATGGAGAGTCGATTAGAAGGATGAGTTCTATAGTCCAGCTGGGCAGGGCTGGCAGCACTGCTTGGGATTTTAGTGAAGCAGAGGCAGCAACGTCTTAAAAGGAGAAGTATTGTGAGATTAAAATGTATTCTTCACAATAATTTGAGCCGGCCTGTGACACTGCAGCTCTATAGCTTGAGAACTGAGCGATCACAAACCGCTGATCGCTAAGCTCAAGGCTTCTCCCTGCAGAGTGGTGAATGTCAGTGACTGCTCCCCACAAGGATTCCCCCCCTTCCCCTCTCTCTCTTCCTCCAGCACTCATTGAGGGGACAGACAGGAGTAGGTGGGCACAACTGGCTCTGGCTCTAAAGAGGCAGAGCCAGCTATCAGGCAGCAGGGTGTCGGGATCATTCCTGGTTGCAGTGAGAGCAGTAGCCCGCTATTTTACACATGAAGTAAAAGGTTCACTGGATTTCTGGCAGAATCAACGTGCATGTACTAAATTAGGCTTTTTTTCTTCCTCTCTTTTCAAGGTAAATTTTAGCTGCCATAATTGCCAGCATTTTATAGGACCTACTTAAAGATCACCGACACAAATAAAGCTGGTGGGTTATTTAAACTAGACTACATCTACCCAAAGTGAACTTACCAATATATACCAGTTCCAAAAATGTAAAAGCAATAACTAGTGGCACCCTTGACTGATGAGAAGCAGTAGTAGACACTATTCACCATCATAGTATGAATTTAAAAAAAAATTATACACCCAAGAAATACTAGGCTGTTATGCCCGTGGAAAAAAATCAAAGTACAATCTCAATTACAGGTTGTAAAACTGCTTTTATTTAGTATCCAGCAACGAAAAATATTTTAACTTTACTTTTCATTAGAAACTGTAGTTTAACGCCTTTATTTTAGGGATGCACCGGTACCGAGTATTTGGAACTTCCAAGTCATTACCAGCCGCTCGGCTTCTTGATTGGTAGGGAAGTAAGCTTCATGCTCCCTGGTAACTCACCCAAATACTCGGTATCGGCACTGATACAGATACTAGTATTGGTGCATCCCTAAAATAAAAAGGCGTCAAACAACAGTTTCTAATGAAAAGTAAAGTTCAAGATATTTTACACTTGGTGACGGGGAGCAAGGAGCCGGCATGTAATGACTCGCCGCCCGGCTTCCTGATTGGCCAGAAAGCCGGCTCCATGCTTTCTCGTTACCTGGTGACGAGGGAGCATGGAGCTGGCTAATTAGGAAGCTGGTTGGCGAGTCTTTACCCGCTGCCCGGCTTCCTTAAATGGGACTTCTGGTATCGGTAAGTACTGAAAAAAAATGTTTTTATATATAAAACCGTTATCGGTGCATCCCTACTTTATATGTATAACTCAAATCGCTTTTGTAAATCTCATTTCTACTCAAAAATAGTACTAACGTGATCCCTTAAAAGTGTGTCCATACGTGTAGATTTGCAGAAGGCATTCTAAGCTTATTACCTGACCAGTTCAAATAGCTGTCCCAGAATGGGAGAGGAAGGCTGCACGTGTATTTTTACAGAGCTGTCTTGTCGAATACAAAAAGTAATCTAGATAGTGATGTGCTAACAGGCATCGTTGTATAAATAATCCACTACTTTTGTTTGGATTGCTTGACAGGGATCCTGTTTTTAATCATTTGTAACAGTAATTATATGCATTAAATCCTATTTTTTTAAATTTGAAAGTAAATTAAATTTGTCTTAATTTTTCTTCCAGGGTGTCGCTTAGACACAATAAGGGGTTCTAGATATTCCTTTTAACATAGCAAATCTTCAGTTTTGAGTTGAGGTCCACTTTATGCAGCAACGAGTCAGGATTTATTATCAATTTGTCAAACCTCACTGAAAAAAAACAAATACTGCAATAACACCTATCAGAAAATGCTTAATTTGCTGTAAATCAATGTGTCACTGCATGATATTAAAAACACAAATAATACAAATAGCAGAATTGCTCAAGTATGAATGGATAAACACCAAATAAACTCTTCCCAAATGTACGAAAGGTAGAATAGAAGGACCGAAAAAAAAAAAAAAGTGCAACAAAGTTTTTGAACAGTTTGTGATATTAGAACAAAAAGAAAAAATATTTATACCCAAACCCCAGGTTTGTTAGATGAAAAATGAGAATGGATTTATTTGGTGAGGGAACAATATGAAAGGAAGTAAAAGCATGTCCACAGGAAATAGTAGTAAAAACACAAGGAGATGGGAAGAGGAAGATATTTTAGTGGTTTTACGATGAAATCCTACCTTGAAGAACCTCTGACAAGTTATAATGGAAATCCATTGCCTTGGCTGCATGTGTGATAAAATAAATAAATAAATATATATATATATATATATATATATAGTAACATTTAGATACCGTCATTTCAGCCCAGACTGCAAACGTAAATTACTTACAAAAATGGTCATTACAGTGAAAGCAAAAGGGCTGCTGTACCCAAAAGTCATATTTTAGATCTTCTGTATCACATATTGCATTCTTACATCACTCAGGATTCCAGCACCAGGACATTCTTATAAACCCAAAGGTTAACCAAAAGTATAATGGCCAACAGGAAGCTAAATTAGCATTCTGCAAGCCTCTGATTGATCCAGCATAATGAAAATCCACCTGGGATAGTAGCACAAATCATTATATGCTTTTGGAATGGAGTGCAAACAAAAGCTATTATAAGGCCTCATTCACACTGCCACGTGTATTGTACCATATGCAAATAAATGGCTCCATACACAGCTGTGTATGGAGCCGTATATATGCGAAGCGTAAAAAAGCGCAAAAACAGAATGGAACCAAGATGTGTCCGGGCAGCATATTTCTGCATATTTTACGTGCATACCCGTGTTTGTGCGTGTATATGCATGTACAGTTCATTAACATTTCTATTATGAATGATGCATTCTATGATTGCATATAGTGCGCGTATATATACGCAATATACACTTTTGCTCTTGCGTGAATGAGGCCTAAAAGGAGAATTTGCCACTGGTATATTCATGATACTTAACACCCAACTGCAGCCAACTTTTTTTTGTGTGTGTTTTGGATAGGGTGGGGGAAGCTTAGAACCTCCGACAGGTTTTTATTGCTGCAGTGGCCCGAATATGGAGATTTTCCCCTCACTTCCTGGCCATACAAGTAGTGATAGGAAGTCTCTCTAAAAGGGGACTTGAACAAAAATACACACACATTTTTAATTGAGAAGGGTTAGAACCTCTGACAATGTTTTTATTGTTCTATGTGCCAGTCTTTAGGACTACCACACCCCGATTTCTTGTATTGCCATCACAGGAACAGAAATCTCCCAAATAGATCGCCAACAAAAATTAAAATCTAAAATAAGTTACAAATGTTTAATTCCACTTTCCCAGGAAAGAAGCACACCTTCCCTTCCCTGCTGCAGCCCTGCACTAAGTATTTCAAATTAAGTTTGCAAATGGTGAGCACTCATTGCCCAGTGTGGTCATCTGAAGCGCTTCTTGCGAAGAAGATAGGTGGGGATAATTTAAATTTTCCCCAAATTCATCAGGGAAAGTGGAATTACCCTTTAAGCCTTCCCAACGCTATAAAAAAAAAAAAAGGAGGATTTAAGAGTTCCGCAGGTAGTTTAACCCTCCATAGCTCTATTCAAGTCTCTAGACAAAAAATGCAAGATTGACCTGCCAGAAAGGCCTTGTCGAAAAATTGATCCCTTGAGCTATAGAACTCCTATAAGCTATAGCTCTTTTTTGGGGGGCCAGAAAACAAAGCATTTGCCATTGATTGCACACAGAGGTCTTTTTTCACTATTACTTGGATAAGGAGGAAGTGATGGTGATTTCTAAAAATAGCAAGAAGTCTAGCTGTGATCATTAGGCTGTCATCAAAAGTGGGGAATATCAAAAGAGTGGTTAGATTCGGACTTAAAATATGGAAAGCCAAACCTCAGAGCATAAGAAAATAAACTTGAATCTGGAGATCACTAACAAAAGCAGTGCCAATGCACTATGTAACTATGTAACAGTTTATTTTACTGTTGTCAATTCATGATGATTGGTGGAATCAGAGCTATTTGGTGTTGTATAACCTTGTACCAGTAGATGCCCTAGATGAGCTTGTGTTTGTGCTAACATGTAAGAAAATGGATGACCTTTGATAATGCGGTCAACGGCGACTATTTAAGATCTGTATTGACTGAAGAGGGAAGTAAATGGAAAGATTCAGTGAAGACTCTGTAACCCTACTTTGACTACACGGAAGTTCAGAAAGATCTAGGTGTGCAATTACATCCATGGATCTGCAGAAAAAAAGCTACACCGGTCCCATTCATGTCATGGCTTTGGGAATATCCACAGACGAAAGCTTCTGCATTTTTTATTTTTTTTTAAAGCTGTGAACTATAATCAATGAGGTAAGCCAAAAGGAGAATGTGCTGTGCAAGTATCAGTACTAGATTTGACTTTGAGAGGCTCAGTATTCAACCAAGTTGATTTATAAGAACGTCATTGGTACAATCTAGACCCGAAAAAGTAGCAAATAAATAGTGATAAGGTGGGCGAAGGCTGCTACATCAAATATAAATACAGAATAAGGTGGGTGTGGCAAAAACAAAAAGGTCAGTCTCAGAAAACATTGGGAATGTGGTTGGATCTGGATGTGCAAGTAGGCATCACACAAACTCAGCATAAACAGACAGGAATTTGAGGAATATATACAGTATAGCACCGATTTAGAACCATTTGTAATGGTCAAAACAATTTAGAATGTTGAAACAGAGAATGAAAGTAAAGTATATGTAAGAGAGTCTTTCTTTCTGAAAGTACATACAGACTATTGGCAAATGTGCCATTAAATAGAGATCTGACCTACAGAAATGTGTCCACTTATCTAGAGTAGCACATTTATTTCCCATTTTCAGTAAGACAGTGGGGAAACTTTTCCACTTGTGTGCCAAATGTATTGTTTAAGGTTGTCCTTAGATCCCTATAGTAACATAAAATCACCAACAGGGCTGCTGGACAAAGACCTGCTCAACTATAAGTGGGGTAAGGGACAGCTTGCCACAGAGGCCCTGAAATAGGTCAGCTGCATTTGGTTAATTACTGGGACCCCCTTACTGTCAACATATGAACAGAAGTAAATTTTTTTGCTTTCCTGAAAGAGAATCGCCAGTTGAAAGTAGATGTATACAATTTAACCACAGTTCCATCACTGGAATCAATGTAACCATATCAAAGTCTTGTAATTGCCATGGATGTACTGTATAAAAGGAATTGTATATCTACACAGAACGTGCCACTCAACTTGGTCCTTTCCGCACAAAAAAGATAGATTTGAGAGAAAAAAGAAAAAAAGAGAGATGTGCCCGAGCCTAAAAGTGATAATAGTAGAAAGTTAAAAACTGAATTGCACATTATAGTGGAAACCAACAACCAGGATCTGCTAAAAAATCGACCAAGTCAAAGAATAACCTGGTGTGCCATCTCTCTATAAGGGTCACTGTCTTCAGATTTCTCCACACTGTTAAGCTCTGAAGTGCTGTCTATTACATAAAGGATTAAAATATGAAGAAGAAAATTTATGAAGAATTAGATGTCACTTTTGGTAAATTAAAACAACATTTTCACATTGAAGTTTGCATGTTTAGGCTAGGCAAATCCCCCCTGCCAGATGAGCCAGATCGCTTACATTGGAGCTGGCTCCTTACATTTAGAATCGCCCAGGCTACTGGAATCGCGTACCTTCCCTCCTCAGTCTAAGAAAAAAACAAAAATTCCCAGAAGGGCTACTGCCTCTAATATAGCAAGTGTAAAAAAAAAACAGTTCTATAGATCCTCTTACCTAGCACATCTTCATAGTCCACCAGGTCGAACCACACCACAGCTACTGATGTCCATACTCCCAGGAGGGCGATCACCATAAACCAGGTAAAGACTGAGCTACCGGACAGGCCTGCTTTCTTTCCATTGTTGCCACCGTGCTTTGCTTCTGAAAAGAATGGAAGATTTTAAATAAAAGCTTTTTTTTTATAACAAAAAGTAAAATGGAGGTATTAAATAGGAAATTTCTGGGCTTTAGGAGAGAAGATTTAAAATAACCATCTGGTAGAAAGCAACAGTGATCTCCCCAAGGTATGTATCTTTTTCTAAATCCATTCGCAGCATTTAGAGTACAAGCTGTAGATAGGCTTAATGTAAACAGATAAATTTTTACAATGGCCTGTGGTCATGGCTCTCAGATCACAGGTAAAGAAAGGGCAGAGGTAATCATTATTTGTGACATTGCTTGCTATCCCTGGATGTATTAATAGAGCTAATGTGTTTTAGAAGCACCCTTTAAGGGAAACCTGGCTAATCTCGAGAAGAATAGCGATGGTCTGGGAAATTCCATTCCTGACGATCACACCATGACTCCAACCCTCCAGTATTGTCAGCAAAGGGATAGTTGAAGAGATGTGTCCTTAGATGTACAATTATTTTTTTTGTAACTATTGGCTGGGCGGGAAAACGCTTATTCCATGTTTTCTATGAGCCTTTCAGAAATTATAGATTCATCCAGCGGGGGGAGTATTTCTGGCAGTTTCTTAAAGTGTAAATCAAGCTAAAACGTCTATTTTTTTAGGTTTAGGATAGAGAAAGTGACATGGTTAAAGCCTTGTTTTTTTGCGATTTGGGTCTCATTGGGGAAACACAACAAAAATAAAAAGAGGAAATCTCCCCAAAATGGGAAAACACACATTAGACAAGATGTCCCTATTTGAAAATAACCCTTTACTCCTGTTCAGATGAAAAGTGTAACATTTTGGATTTCCCATCACGATCTGTGATATTGGTCACCAGGACAGAGAGGGTGAATCTCCCCAATGGGTCTTACCTTCTCTATTCAAAAGGTAGACCGATTTTGGCTATAGATATACCGTAATTTATTGTAAACTTGTAGCTGGCCCCTTTCACATACAGCAAAAAGCAGACAATTTTAGAGCCGAATTATAAAACAAAAAAGGTATCCTACTAGTTACTTACCATCTACTATCATCATCAGTTGAATTAGCAGAAACAATTTTTCTTGTTTCTTCATTAGAAAACTCATGAAGTCAATATTAATCTATTTTGTAAGGACAGCTCCCAGAGAGACAAAACCCACAACTATGCTCTACTCTCAACATAATGAAGACAATGTGTATCCTGAAAACAATGCAGTCTTCTCATCATCGACAACTGCAGCCAACAGCACTGTAGGCATTCCCAGTCAAGGACACCGAGTGCTACATGCCTGAGAACTGCTAAAACTATCCAAAGAAATTAAAATAATTCAGAAAAAATAGTAACTTGCAAACGCTAATTATAATACACTATTCTTCCTGGTAACACCCCCACCCCCCCCCCCAAAAAAAAACCAACAACCTATGTTCTATCAAGTCAAATTCTTTTTCTGCATCCATAGCACATTGTATCCCTAATAAATGCATTACCTTTCATATTTTTGCACTGCAGCCATCAATCTTGATGCATAAGTAACTGTTCCAAGGGGCTGTAGTGGTGGCACCAAAATAATATGTCTGAGGTAATGGCACTTACAGTGCTACCACAGGTAAAAGTCTGCTAGACATGGAATCCTCCAGTGACATGAAATCTTCGGTGCCTATATCTCCATTCACAGGTTGATGGACGCTATAGTACCTCCCTGTGTCGTGCCACAAAACAAGTCTCCTCCTACTGTCACAATACCAACTTGTGCCATCGCACTGACCCAACCTTCTAGGATTCACTTTAAAAAAAATATAAGGCTGGATTATAGTACTTGCTTTAAGAAGACCATTTTAAAAAGGTACACATTCACAATTTTTAAATGTAAAGGTTTTTAATGCATCAACTGAGGGCTTTTTCTGGTCAAGGCTTTGTCCCCTACCACTCCACTAACAGTGCAGCTCAGAGGGCAGAAAAAGGCTAGGAGAAATTTGACGTGTACAGGTACAAACCAATGTACAGATAACAGCAGATGCCTAAACTTCGGAATTTACTATTTTGACAATGTTTTTGACTGAAGGTAACTTATCTATGCATTTTTTTTTATGCTCACTTTGAACTGGCCAAATTTACTTTACTCTCTCCAGCCCATTCTGATGCTGAACCTCAGACATGGTCCTAAAAAACATGCACCACTAATGGAATCACTCACAGGTATTCCACAAGTACATGTCCAACACCAGTAGACTAATCATTCCCATTATCAACTTCTACCCCCCTAGAATTATCCACATGCTGTTTCAGTACAGAGGACTCTGCTGACTGTTTATAAAACTTTCTCCTTTCACTAATGCTATTTTGATAGAAGCAATCTGCCAGCAAAAGTGACACCAGCAGAGATCATTCTAATTTTATTTCCCTGTTCACTCCCACCTAAGCCGAGCAACATGCCAAAATCCTGTGCAAACAAGTACAGATATGTGCCCATGCAAAAATAAAAAAAACATGCAAACATAAAACTAAACATTTATTAAGACATATATTATGGGTATTATTAGATAAAAGGGAGCATTCACAGTATGTTCCCAACACACACCAAGCACTCCCCAATACACAGTGAATGATGGTTTTAGCAGAATGGCTAAAAAATTAGCACCAATCAGCTTTTGTTTTTTATGACAGTACAAAGCATCCACATAACAGTTACCTGGCTTCAGCATTGGACTGCAGTAAAGCTGTTGGCTTTTAAAGCCAAGTCATTTCCTAACACCTGCTGTTTTACATGTACAGGTACAGGTACTCAGATCTAACAAAGCAGCCGATAGATTCAGCTTGTTTAAATCTGCATGTTTACATTTTAAACAAATACACACTAACAACAAAAATCCACTTGCCCCGCTTCCCCACTGCCCAATTTAAAATATACAATATATAATAAAATATAATATAATAGATAAGCAGTGTTAACTAAGGTGTCTACATAGGATCATGTCATCATGCCCACATTTTGAAGAAAAAATACACTTTTTTTTGAAGACATACTAACAGTATTCTGCAATTACCGGTCCACCACTGAACGGACAATGAGGGTGAACAGGTAGTATTGCCGATTTAATCCCCTGCCCTGGTTCAGTGATTGCTGCGTTATTAGTCCAGGTTATAACAGTACACTATGGGGAAGAAAAGGAAAAATTTGCTTCACTTTACAAGGAAATTGGTCCAGTCTAGGAGCCAGTAGCCACATTTGAACCATGTCCTTCCTGAAAAAAAGAAAGTGCTCCAAAACGAGAGGCCTCAGCTGTAAATTTGAGGATGAATCGGCTAGATGACTCTTGGGATTTACCCAACACTGCTCCAGGGTCCGTGTAGACCGAAGCCAAAGAACCTATCCATATGTTATGCTGCATATGCATCTATCTATCCATCCATCTATACATATACACACACACACACACACAAACACACACAGAACATTTTTAAGTACATACGACAATCGCAGTAAGGGTCCCTTGAAGGCATAGACTACATTACTTGTTATGCATTTATTCATGTATCTGTTGCCTTGCAAACACCGAAGCCTTCACTTGTAATTTTTCACCTCAGACTATAAAATCATCTGGCATGCACATTCTTTTTCCACATGAAATGCAGTACCTGTATCTTCAGCCATGCCTCCAGCACGGTGTGCCCACAGATATCTGTGAAAACGATCAACCAAGGAAAAACTTTAGCTCCGGAAAGTAAAGCCCAAGAAGAGAACCAGCATCCCCCATCCAGCAGGGGTGAAATGGCTGTGCACAGTCAAGTCAGCTAGATTTCGAAACTAGACCTGCCCCGCAAGGCTGCTGGAAGTCTATTAATAGGAGTCCTGCCTTCTGGAGCCAAACTCTTGCAGGCACTCATATGGAAATCCTGCACTATATAACAAGCGGGCTACACAGTTTTAACTCCTTCCCAACCAAAGGGAAGCAACTTTATTACGGTATGCAGGCAGATCCAAGCAAAGCATGCCAGTGTTCTAGACATACCACATAGCAGATGATGAAAGCATGTTAAATCAGCTCTGCACCATATAATCCAGGACTATTTGAAGAGTGAATTAGAGCAGACTGCTGTACAGCTGGCTCTGGCCACATATATCCAATCAATCCATTTACTTTAGTGCTTCGCTTGAACAGCAGCTGCAAAACCTGCCCAGAAATAAAAGCTCTGCTGGCATTTTCCTCTGCTAGTCTAAACAATCTTTCATCAATGCAGAATGTTAAGGGAACATACACTCAAAAAAACAGGACGGAAATCCTGCTACCATTTGGAACAAAGTAAATAGTGAATTATTGACCTCTTTGTAACATGCTGAGTAAAAATGACAGTAACCAACAGATACAGCGAAAAGCTTTTTCTAAAGCTGGGGCTAGAACATTAGACAGGAAAATTTGTGGCCAGCATAACTGTGTATTTTAGAGGACTGCTCAAAGCAGGGATCACCAAAGTGATCAATATTGACCCCCATGGGTAGATGGGAGTATCGAAAGGGTGCATAAAATGGCTGGAAGTAAAAGGGGGTCAGTAAATGTCTAAGGCCTGGTTCACAGCGCGTTCCTGTAAAACGCTCAACATGTGAAAACCAATAATTGCCTATGGGCATGGTTCCCACCTGGGCGTTTTACAGCTCGTAGGAACGCGCTGAAAAACACCCTACGCCCAAAGAAATACAGGAGCTTCTTTGGGGCGTATTTGCCGCACGTATCCATTAGGATATAGCCGGATAGCCCTCCGAAACACGCGCTTGTCGCGCGTTTCTTTTACCGCAAATCGCTGCATGAAACGCACGGCAAACCTGCATATTCCGTACACCCAGGAGTGGACCCAGCCTAAGGGCCAATAAGTGTGCCAGTCCCGGGTCCTGAAGGTTAGGTGGCGAGACCGTGTTACCCAGGATTGGATGGTCAACTCTCTGCAAGAACGGCCTTGAATCGTCTATCACCTAGGTGCCGTTACTGGCTTTGCATTGTGTGTCTGTGACCTTTCACCATCCCCCTTCCAGAAAGCATATACAGTATGTATGTTCAGTACAGCAAGTGAACAAGTATCCCCCAACTCAAACCATGTCAGAGAACCAGGGAGTACACCCATCTCAAATAGCTATTTCAGAGCCAGTTAGTACACCCACAACGTTAGGAGATTTGTCAAGAATGGATTGCGGTGTATTGACTAAAAAAAATTAAATTATCAGCATTGTAACAACCATAATAAGAGCTGCTTATACCAAAAAGTAGAAACAATAATATTATGTACTATTGCTGGGTTTTGTAGTCCTCTATAGCTGGTGGTATTCTGCATTGTGTTGTATAGAGGACTACAAAACCCAGAAATAGTACATTATACAGCGCAATGCAGAATACCGCCAGCTATAGAGGAATACAAAACCCAGCAATAGTACATTATACAGCGCAATGCAGAATACCACCAGCTATAATGTACTATTGCTGGGATTTGTTGTATAGCCAGTGCCATTCAGCATTCATTTCTGTATAATTTTACACTTTCCATTTCACTATATTGCACACCACACTTTTTATTTTTCACTTCCACCGCTCCAAGCTTGCTCCTGTGATGTACTGCAATCTCAATACAAACTAGTAGTCCATCACTGGAGCCATTTTTTAAAATGTATATTACGTTTTATCCGATTAATTGAACTTAATAAAATCGGCTAACTAATCGATTTTGAAAATAATCGTTAGCTGATGGGGGCTCCTGGTTTGAAGTAATTCAGGCAACATGGAAACCAGCAAATGAACTGTGCTAAGGTTAGAAGTTCCAATCTTGCCTTAAAGCAGGGTGGACAAAGTAATATGCAATTTAGGAGTCAGTTTGTCCAATCCAGGAGCCAGCAGGATTTTTTTTTTTTTTTTAATAGAGCCAGCTTCATTGATAAGAACTAGAGAAAACCTCAAACGGTTAGGTGCCAGCTGTCATTTTTAAGGAATATTGGCTACCTGGCTCCTGGGATTTTGTCCAGCCCTGGCTTAAAGGGAATGTGTAGTGGTTTTATAGATAGTGTATTTATGATCAGGGCATATATATTATTTGTAAAAATGTACAGCCTTTGATCCAGCCAGCAGAACAAAATGAAGAATAAGAACCTCTATGACCCCAGTGGAGCCCATCACAAGTACCGTGGCAAGCGGAAGAAGGCCTAGAAAGAAATTAAGTGTTGTTTTCCCAGAATGGGAAAAAACAGGAATCAGAGACATGGAAGATAAAAACATATGATGTAAATCCCAAGACATCTCCAAGCAACTGTAACATTGGAATTCATCTGCATCTATCACAGGCCCCTTCAACCCACTTAGAAACTCACATGAACCCTTTTGTTTAAAAATCCCCAACCGGATGCGAGACAGCAAATGTAATGTTCTCTTGTGAGTCCGATACTTCATATGTATCAACGTTCTCACATTAACAAACAGCTATGTATTCATTTAAGAAGAAACTACATTTTAAAATGTTGCTACAAACCATTTTCAGAAGAGAACTAAAGCCAAACCCCCTTTTTAGCTTTGTCTTCGTCATTTGGGTCACAGGGTACATTTACTAAGGATCTCCTGAGACCCAAAGTCAGCATACAGTGACCTACAGCCCACTATATGCTGATAGCGCAGGATCCACCCAGGTGCCCGATTAACAGTTGGCTTTGTCTCTCCAGAGCCACTGCCATCTGTGCCCACCCCACCCCTGTCTGTCCCTTCAATGAGTGCTGGAGGAACAGACAGGGTAGGGGGGAATTCCTGCAGGGGGCAACAACTGACGGTCACCGTCACTCAGTATATAGAGGTCCTACAAATGCCGCACTCCACCGGGGTAAAATCTTTTATTTGATAAAAGAAGCAATGGTAAACACACAGATTCAATACCCCACACTGATCCTCAGCCCCTCATGCATTTCACCCGTTGGGCTTAATCATAGATCCCATCAATCTCGGTATATAGAACCAGTGTGTGACATCTGCAGAGTTCCATGCCATGTGGGACAGTGAAGAAAATGCAATGCAGAAGACTGAAAAGATTGTCTCTCTGTTCTCTCCTCCTATTGTCATGCTTCTTGTTAGCACTGCAGCACAACTGATTTTCATATTGTGCTCCTTCTCCCTCTCCCAATCTGTACACGGGCAGCAAAAGGGTTGAGAGAGAAGAAGGAGAGAAGGAGAGAAGAGAGAGAAGGAGAGAAGAGAGAGAAGGAGAGAAGAGAGAGAAGGAGAGAAGAGAGAGAAGGAGAGAGAGAGAGAGAAGGAGAGAGAGAGAAGGAGAGAGAGAGAGAAGGAGAGAGAGAGAGAGAGAGAGAGAGAGAGAGAGAGAGAGAGACAGACACGGGGCACAGACCAGTTGTGAACTTTAGTGCTACAGTTCTTGTGCCAATGATTTACACTGTGCATCTGTTTCACAGCCCAAAGCTGGAACAGGATAAACACACACCAGTGAACTCTGACTTCCTGGACTTTTTAGTGTCATGCTCTCCAGACTAACAGCATTGCACCAACACAGGGTGCTACTGTTTACTTATTCAACATATGTCAACTATGTCCTTGTCTTACTATACTTGATAAAACACAATAATAACTATGACCCTGTGCAAAATGGGGTACTTGAAAAGGATAGGTGCACTTTTTGCCCCAGTGTGCCAATCTAAATCCCCCTTCCCTTTGGTCTGGCAATATATCCTGCACAGAACTAGCACTTCACGGGCTGATTATTACTACCATACAATCACGTCCATACATTGTCTAGATCAGGGCTGCAAATCCCAGGAGCCAATGCTCCTTAAAAGTTACACCTGGAGCCTAACTTTTGAGGCTCTCTCTAGCTGCGGTCAATGGAGCTGGGTCCTGGACTGGACAAGACAGCTCCTGAATTCCATAATTTGTCCACCCCGTTTTAGATATAGCTCTACTGACCTGTCATTTTCCTGACATCTTCATATTATAAGAACACAAAAGAGCTGCCACTTTTGTCCTTGCTCCCCATATGTTATAGCCAAAGAGTTTGAAAACAATCCTCTAAGAGGAGAATGTCTGGGCAGTTCTTCTGTATGCCTTGTTTGGAACAATAACATTTTATTTAGGCTGATGTCATCGAAGTGCAGCCAGTGTCTTTGGCATCTTCATACTATCACTCACAATTAATGTCAAGTTATCCAATGAATGGGCAAAGTGACAGGTTCCTTTTATATTGAACAATGGTAAACGTGTAGCTATTAAGATAATAGGTTTGTTTTTTAAACAGTAGTAGAGGTTTGCTTTAAATGTGCATCCTGGCATGATATTGCAGTGCAAATCTCAACACTGCATAAATGAAAATCTATAGTCTTTAAAGTAGACCAGAAAACACAGGAGGCAACATTCTATAAGTTGACCAGCTGCTCTTAACAGGTTGTTATTAGGGTGAGCCTGGCTTCCTCCCCCTGCTGAGAGAAGATCCAAGGGAATGTCAAGCCCCATGAATCAGCAAGCTCAGATGTGACAGGTGCTCTATGGAGGTGACTCTGCTCTCCCTAAGTGTAGCATAGGCATGATCACCAGGAAGACGGCAAAAGGAATTACAATGACTAAATTCATTACCATAATGGTACCTTATTTCATAAGGGATTGGAAAGCCAAATCATTCATTCTGTATGAATGTACATGTCCTTAGAATTCCTAATGCTATTTATTCTTCATATGATCTTACAATTTCAATACAAAAACTGAAGCATAACAAAATAGAAATACATTACATTTGATCCTGGCTTCATTTTCCCCAGGCAAGTTAGAGAATGAACACAATGTGACAGGTTAAAGCGGAAGTAACATTAAAAATGTAAAAAAAAAACAAAAAAAACTGCTGGGAGGTCAGGATTTTTGGCAGACGAAACA